CTATATGTTGTTATATTTATAAAAAATGTTACTGTTAAAAGTTAACCCCTTCAGTGGGCTAAGCTCATATATGTGCACTATTTCTATTCTGCCATGTAGCAAAAAAAAAAATTAACTCGGTGGTGGTGCTGCTCTAAGTCATAGTATGCATGCTTACACCGAGATTTTGGTGGCAACGGAGATGGACAACAACGCAAGACTGAACTGTAGTTTTTGGTGTAATGATTTTCTCGTAACTAATTTGATGGAATTGCAAATAATTTCTTGAACTATGTGAAAAATAGGTCCTGCAAGACATTAAGAAGAATTAATTGTGAATTACTCCACTAAATCCAGTGGAAATAGAAGGGGAAAACAACTGATAAATTTTCAGAAATATGGTGAAACTGTTATTAAAATAGCTAAAAATTTAAACAACATGAAAATTTTTATTTCCATACCTAATAAATATGTATGGTCTACAAGATATAAAAACTTCACCATTATTTTTAATAAAATAAAAATCCCTACCTGATGATGCAATGGCATACATTTTGCCCCAACTTAAGGGGTTAACAGAGTGCATATTATATTTTCAGAGAGATGCTTTCATTCACATTAAACATTATTTAAATGATAACTGAATGCTGCACACAGGTGGTTTAATCTAAATATTGATCATGTGATTCTGCAATCCCTTATTTGTTGTTATGAAAGGGTTGAGACTTGTCTCTATGGAACTGCAGCTGCTAGCACTTTGAATAGTTTGTAGAGTAATCTGTTTGTATATCCTTTGTACAATCAAGTACTGCATAAAACTTTCCACTGGAGTCAGTCCTCCTCTCATATTTCCAAATCTGTAACTTTATTGCAATCTCTTTCTGTTCTCCCTTTATTCTTCCATCATTATCTTGGTCTTCTTTCCTTAATTTTGAAGTAAAATCTGTTGTACGTGTTTATCCTGTTCTGTTCTCCCAAGAATACTTTTAGATAGTTATCTGCATGGCAACTACAGTAACACTCACTTCTGCATTTTTGTTCGAAATACAATAATAGGATATACCTTGCTGGCAAATGTATTCTGTGATTTTGAAATTATTTAAATCTATATAACTGATGGCCATTCATCAGAGTAGCATACTGCTAAACCATTAATCCCAGCCAGCAGTCTTATACTGTTAGGATTAAGATCCCCCATTCTCATGCAATAAAATTTTAAATAATTAATGTGTTTATTGTTGATTACAAAATTGTCTTTGATATGTGTACTTGCAGTCAGATGACTGGGGTTCAGAACATTCTTCGGGTATCTTTGGACGCTTCCTTAGGAGGGACTCTGCCCTCCTGGATAAGGCAAGGGTATGTATTTGTTCATTAGGATAGATTATGACAGTGGACTGCATAATTAATTAATTTATGTAATTCACTTTTTGTCAGCACATTTTCTGCACTATTTAGTTGTTAAATCATGGAAATTATTCTCCAGGAAGTATCAGCCAGTTATGATTTATTTGCAGTCACTTCAGAAATTATCAGTGACGACTATAATTTATGTAGTTCGCAACTTTTATTATCTCTCAGGAATCTCGTGTGAAAGGCAAGAAAGGCGCTGGAACCAATAAGCATATTGGAGAGGAAAGTGAAACAAAAGTTGTATCCACTTCAAACCCGAAGCCACCTCTTATCACCAAGTGGAAAGTTGGTGTCAAACTTCAGGGACGTTCAGAGAGTGACGGTGAGAATAATAATTATCAGTTGATGTGCTGTTGCTGGCATGGCCAAGTGATACAAAGGTAACATTTCCAAGTGGCTATGTAGTTCAAGCTACTGACAGAGTAATAGTATTTACTTGGTTTCTCATTACAGAACTTTATGAAGGTCTGAAGCGAGCACAGAGGAGCAGATTAGAAGACCAAAGAGGAACAGAAATAAACTTTGAACTGCCTGACTTCTTGAAGGTAAGATAGTGATATGAAGGAAATGAGGTAAACTGTCAACTTATAAGATTTTACAGTGAGGAGGTTTACTTGTTGCTTTTCAAAATAGTGAATATTGCAGATACTACAGTATATATTATTATTCATTGACAAGCAATGGTCATAGCAATTCTGAACCTTGGGGTTCTACTAACAAGGGATTAGGTTTATGTACTTTGATCTCCGTATAGAATTCCAGCAGTGAATATTTTGTGTTTTAGGATAAAGAGAATGCTCCTCAGACTGGTAAAAAGTTTCGAAAGCTTAGAAGAGGTGAAGAAAACACTTCCAAATTTTATGAACCAGAACCTCACCCCCAGTCTCATCCTGCAGTTAGTGGTCAAGAGAGCTTGCCAGTTGGAACAAGTGGAAGCAAGTGTAGTTACCGAGCCAATACGTCCACAACAGGTGCTTTGGTAACTCGTTTACTGGATCAGAGTTTTGTAACAGAAGGTGTGATTCCATCTGCTCGTCAAGCTGAGGAGTACTTTTTGGGACGTCGGCCAGATCCCAGCAAACTGGAAAAGACACATCATGGTGACAGTTCAGAAACAGGTTCATCACTGGACAACACATTAGTAGAACTGAATCCACTAGAAACGACATTAACTTGCGCAGATGCCAGAGACGAGTCGACTCGTCCACGACAACATAGTGATCCCCCACCTTTACCTCCAAAACCTAAGCATCTTCCTGTCAAAACATCCATGTGGGCATCCAGTGCTTATGTTTCAAACTCTACCAACCCCCCTACCTTTAGATCACCTGGAGATGGTGCCAGCTCCAGGTTCCTAAGACCCACAGAAGTGAAAAAGGATGTCAGAGTCTGCAGGAGCCGGAGAACTGTATACCTCGATCAACCCAGCAGTAGTTTCGTGTGATGTAATTCAATTATTGATCTTCAGAATGTTGAGTTTTATACTTGGCTTCAGTATTTGTTACCAGTAGTTCACTAAAGCATTTCCAGTTTGGTGATACATGGTCAAAGCAATACCTTGAAACTTGTATCATCTTGAATACCACTTCACTGTTGATAATGAACAAAAGTGAGTGTACATAGTGGTACTGGATGCTTCACCAAGTAGCAGTGCGGTCTGGCACATTTGTTTGTCCAGTCTTTTGTCCACACACACAGCAGCTGTAACCATTTTCACATTGTATATACCATTTACTTAGAAGTAATTTAAATATTGTAAAACAGTTAATGTGGGGGAAACAAATTTTTTTATATATTTACTACGAGTATGGAGACTATAATTGTATTTGTGAAGTAGCACTTGATGCAAAACCAGTGAAACTGGTATCTGCTACTACTATACTACATGCTTAGCCTACATTGAGTTTTGGCATTTCTGAAGACTTTTGTGTCAGCTTTTTTAACTTTCTGACATTGTTAGTACTCCTTCACTGGAGGGTCACCAAGCCACTACCAGCACAGGAAACCACAATATGGAAGAATGCCAACACACAGCTGTGCCTCAAGTGAGTTTGAACCCATGATACCAATGGTTGATAAACCATGACCAGCATTTTGGAACATGTGGCCACATAAATTGGCTGAAACTGGTGTCTTCTCTGCCTAATTTTAATGTATATAGGAGTATCACAGTAATCGTACAAGTTTGCCCTCTTACCTGTGGTACATCCATCTTGCAGTCTGGTAAATGTAATAATAAATTTCTACTTTTTCAAGCACTTATATCATTAAAGTCTCCTCAGGCAGTCAGTCACATTAATATGGAATAAAACTTGGTTCAAGTTAATGTAGCAAGGTATGTTGGACATATTGGCTGAACTACCAAGATGGGATGCAAAGAAGCAGGCAGGGCACATATGTATTCCAGTCAAATTAGTCTACTTATTTGCCAACTGCTGAATTAGATCATCACATAAAGTTAAAAGAAACCCCAGCGCTGGATGGAACCATGGGATATGTGGATTGTGGTAGAGTTGCATCATATTCTTCCACATTCCAGCATAAACACTGGAGTAAGTCAGCTTCAAGATGAGTGACCACATGCAGTCATTCATTGTTACTTCTAAGGTAAAGAATCATTGAATTTGATGATTTCTGGGACTCCATGTCTCTGCCCACTGCTTTCCGTTTTGGTGGTTCTTGGCCCATAAGAACTAAATTGTGTTAGGTCTGTGTGTGTATATATTTCATCTGCCCTGGTGATGTGAACAGAGTCATTCTCTGAAACATCAGAATTTTATTATGACTTGTTGCTGCTGTTCTGTCAGCAAGGCATACATGTCACCGAACTGATCATCTGGCTTCAAATTGAATTATTCAATAGCATACAAAGCAGTGACTTTGCTTTCAAACCTTCAGGGTCTTAAGGACTGAAATAATGATGTTTGTATGTAAAATGAAGTATGTCAATACTTTAGATAATGGAAGTTTGAAATAGGGCATTTTATTCGATATTAAATTTTCAAAAAGTTTGCATTCAGGTGTGCATGTTCTCATAAACCAACAGTGGCTTATTTTCATCATTTGAAGTGTTCTTGTTTTATAAGTATGTACAGTAACTTAATGGAACTTTACATAAGATATCATTATTGATTCAATGTATGTGATGTTACTGAATATTTTTGCTGGACCAATATTAACAATATTCTGTACTCACTATATGTTTCAGACTTTCTGGTAGGAACTGTAGAAGAATGGGGTGGTCAAATAGGTGCAGTATTTTGGGGGTTTAAATATGCTAACATCAAGGTTTGTGCTACTTACGAACAATACTGGGGATGCAAGGGATCAAGTCTTTAAACTGTACATATGCCTATTATGCACAGAATTTGGTTAATCTTTATATTGAACACAATAATAGGTGTGATTGCCATTTCTGTACAGCTGTTTGTAATAAAATATTTATGAGTGAAAAACACCACCCCTCCTTTTTACATGGCTATCCTATCTACAACTGTGAGTGTTTATCACATTATGCTTCAGTTTAAAAGAACATCTTCAGCTAACTCTGTGTATATCTGAAACCTTGTTCTAATCTAGCATTCTCAGTCTGTTCTGTGGAAGCCTGGGTTTCTGCAAGAGAATACTGTCTGACAGCAGACTAATTCATTTTACGGTGTCTTTGTCATTCCAACAATACATACCTATCTGTCAGTTTTTGAATTTTCACTACAATAGACCATGTAAATTTCTTCATATTTTTACAGGTTTTCTTTTTCATTATTTTTGCTACAATGAAGAACCAGCCTTCATCAGAGGGCCAAGCATCCACTTCATTTAGTGACACACTTGGAGGAAAGTGGCACATAGATGTGAGGCTGACTCCTCCCTCATCCTCCCAGTTGGTTGACAATTTGTTGTGTTTGTCATCTTGACTGTGAGTGATAATCTTCAAACATCTTTGTTATTTGTGATCATGATTTATCCTAAACATGAGTTTCTTCAGGAGATATTATTTGCTCCGTTAATTCGGTTCATGTAAATAATAAGTTGGGACAGGTTGGTCAGTGAACTATGGACTTCAGCACCATGGCCAGACCAGTTCTGGGGTTCACCAAGCATCCTATTCAGTAGGTATGAAGGAAAATGTGGCTGGAATATCAAGGTCACCACTGTCCTTATTAAGTGCTGAGACGCAGCAATATTTTATACAGATAATAGGCAGGTAATGAAGTGGAGTATTATGTATACAATTGTCACCAATGAAAGATTCAACATATACAGAGTCTGATGAGTACAGCAACACTAACCAGTGACTAGAATGAGGCACTGGTTCATAATACCTGGATTATAGAGTACAGGTCATGTCATGGTAGACCAACAGGAATATTTATTGAATCAACTTGACGTTTGACAAATATTCAACATGTTACATTCCACAACACCTGGAAACAAATTTTCAAGCAAAAGGAATTATAAAATTTTAGGTACAGCATAAGCACCTTTACCCCTTTGCTATACACACCAATATTTGATGTTTGCATTCTTTGTGCATGTGAAATGCAGTCATCTGACTCAATCATGCTGTAAGAGTCCCCCCCCCCCCCGATTCTGAAGTCTCATTGTGAAATGAAAGTCTGATTGATTCTGAAAATCTTTTCTTGGTGTTCAGGAAATAATGAGTTCTGTTAATTTTGAAAACAACTTGTGAGAGTTGCACAATCAACTTGGTACATTCCAACACCCAAACAATATTTCATACAACATTTTTACAGTTATAATCTCTCATTATAAAAAACGGTACATAAAGCATATGTGTGGTCTGGTTATATTTTTTCTTTCCACTATAAGCATCCTCAGAATTTAGCATTACTGCCATGCTGCCTACCACATTCACAAAAACTTTCCCTTTCAAAACCACTGGCAGGAACACAAACAGCATTGCTAACATTAACCCTTTCAAAACCACTGGCAGGAACACACAAACAGCATTGCTAACACTATAAAGCTGATCTTTTTCAAAGTAACAGCATCAGATCACTAATGTCTAATCCCAAACTACATGATTACTCAAACTGGTGCAGCTTGTGGTTGACCAACTTCTGTTTCACTTGAAGTCCTCTGTACTTCTTTGGTCTCTGAGCTCTCCTCAGGGGTTTCCTTCTTAACAAGCCTGAAAGTCTTTGTTACTGGTTCCTTTGGAGGCATCCAGTTTGGCACGATTTTTTCATGCAAACGCCAGAGACCATATTCATTAGAGAGATGTTTTTCAAATACAACATATTCCAATACATCTTTGGCAAGTATCTCGCTGCCGTGCATGAGTCGCCCAAAGCGGTCATAGATTGCAAGAATCTGTTGTGTGTGAAACCTCACTGTTACTTGACCAAAGATATTCTCCTTTGTGATGATATCAGTGCATCGTGCGTGAACTAGACGTGGGGGCTCTAATGACTTGACAAATTTCCAGTGAATCGTCTTATCGATAGTATTATGGCGTATTTCCTGGAATAACAAATACGGTTAATTGTAAACTCATCTGAAATGTGATGGTCTTTCAGACAAATGAATTTTTTTTTATTTGAGCTGGAATAATCACTTACAGATTTGGCCCTTTTCCTTCTTACCAGAAACTCAAAGGTTTTACCTTCTGAGGTCCATATATATATATTAACATGGGACAATTACCTTCTGAGGTCCATATATATATATATTAACATGGGACATCTTACCAGTCAAAATTATTTTCTACAAATTTTGAAGTACCAAGCTTGATCTGTTTCCAAAGCTGGACAACTTTTGGGCTAAACCAGTATTTTTTCAAACATTTCACAAACCACCATGAAAAATTTTGATTTAATTATTAATGAGACTGTTGGATGAAGTATGGCACTGGACTTGAATATGATAAGAGGATCTTGAATGGATTCTGCACATTCACACATCTTCTGTAATTTGTCAAATTTCATTTTGAATGACCTTTACTACTTTCAATTTTATTTTACAAAACTGCATTTGTACGAAGAGGTTTGACTGCTTTTTTTTTATCAAATATAATGTTCCAAAATCCTTCCTACTTCCAATGCTAAAAGCCAGCACAGCTACTTTAAAACAATTTAGCTATTAAAGGGTTAAACTCTTGTGTACAGTCACATAAAGTATTTTTAAAGGCTTTGAGTTGGTGAATGAATTTTAGGTTTGTATGTAGGCCTTTGCATTATTTTTCATGGCCTTCTAATGCATTTGGATAACATTGCCTTTATACTTTGAGTTTTCAAAACCAAAAATTAAATATTGCGTGGAGAAGTTTTATAGCAGGCGGGTGGTTTTTATGTTCAGTCCTCAGTTTGCATGACAGAATTTTTATACATCTAAAGGCAATATACAGAGCGAACTTTTAGCAGCTACTGAAGTTGATGAAAAACTCGGGTTACAAGCCATGTCAGGATTTCCCATCAGTGAGCGAGCTACAGAGGACCAGATTTGTTACACAGCAGCCCTGAGGATGACGGCAGAGATTGCTCTTGAAATGTTAGCAGAATATATGGTTTATTCACCATTCAGCCACCTGACACAGCATGTAACCTGAGAGAGTTTCAACTTCTAAAGGCAATGTTCCAACATTTGAGGTGTAACCTCTACTTCTGTCTACTGTGTACAAACAGTAAATGATGCAAACAGGCAACAATGATGGAAAGCATTTATATAACAAAGTACAATAAGAATGTTCTTACACTACGTGCTAACTAACTCTATGGTTCAGGGTTTTTTAAAAAAGCTGAGTCACTCAACTGGTCGAAGTACCCTGAATGTTCAATCCTGTGTTCTATAGAGCCTACCACTGGACTCTATCCTGCATCCAGTCCTCCCATCTATGCCTCAATGCTTCAAGCAGTCTCTTCCATTGAAGTTTTACTAATAAAATTTGTATGCATTTCTCATTCCCCCACCCCCCAATGCATGCTGCATGTCTTACCTACCCCAACCTTCTGGATCACGATTCCAGCAATAAGAGACAAACAAAAATTATAAAGATCCTTGGTAACCAATGATCTCTAGTCCTGTTTTTTTACCATTTTGTTCTCAGTCTACAGCACCAAATTTGTGGCAGAAACATCGCAAAGAATTTTCAAAAGTATGGATGGGAACATTATACAGTAATTATAATCAGCTGGTTTTACCCAGCATCCTTAGTCTAATGATCTGCATTTTTACAGACACAGAACCTTACCTTCTTGAAGGTCAAACAACAGTTTTAAATTACTGTGATGGTTACATATACACCGAGAGCTATCTGCCGCATTAACAACATGGCTCGGCTCACGTGTAAGCCTAGTCCAGGGCTGAGCTGCAAATTATGTATGACAGCATTTGCCCAAAAATAAATAAAAAAAACTGCATGTGCACAGTCTCTGTCAACAAACATTAATATAATCATTATTTATTATAGTACTTACAGGATATGCTCGTTCTGTCACAAACTCCTGAATTTTAGTTTCATCTTTGCTGGAAAATACCATAAAGTATTTGAATTAACATCACTGTAATTGATTTAAATATTAAAATCAATTATCTGAATAATGCTCATAAATTATAAAATAAATGCACTCAAAAATAAAACTAGTGACAATATAGTAGTATCTGCCAGTCTTGCTCTTAGTATTCTGAAGGGGGCATTCTGCAAACCCCTCATAACATTATAGTTAATCCCAATTGTCTGTCTAATTTCAAAGCCCATGCATGATCAGAAACTTGGCTGATGCATAATGCATTTAGTCTTAACATTTTAATCATTTGAAATGCACACAAAACCAAGAACATTTTTAATCTTGGAACTGTGAAAATGTCAAGTTATAGAGAAAACATAAAAATTAGTGACATATTTCTGTCTGTAATGTCCACCTGAAAATCAACATAATATTTTATTCTGTTGCCATGTTTGTAATTTTGGATATCTCCCCAAATAAGACATTCTACAAAACTTTAGGAACATTTGTTATCTAACCCAATAAAACAAGTCACATAATTCATTAGACAATTCCATACAACCAAAAGCTAAATATAGATTTCTTACAGTCACCACACCATTACTTTATACCACAGTCTACAAACAAATTTTATTCATACCTTGCCATTAAGGTGTGTGCATTTATGTATATATCTTGTGCTTGTTGAACAAAATCACTGACTTCAAAATCCTCCTCATAACTGCGAATTTTACGTACAGCCAACATGGATTTACTTTTCTTTTCTAAAAATTCCACTTTCTGCTTAGCTCCCTGCAAATATAACAATCTATTGGTATAATAAGAGTATATTCCAATGTTAACATCACTTGCGTTAAAAATTATGCTTTAACCCTTCAATTTTGGTATCATATGTCTCTAATAACACAGTAAAAATGCAGCATTATCATAGGGAAATTATGCTTTAACCCTTCAATTTTGGAATCATATGTCTCTAATAACAGTAAAAATGCAGCATTATCATAGGTGTGTCAGATGACCTCTTACAACAAGGATCTACTTTACTGGGGCAGGGAAAAATGAGAAGTTTGAATTGCTATCCTAGTACTCACAGAGGTTACAGTTCAGATCAGCAACAAAATTTTAAGGGGGATGCCTCTTGAAAGTCAACATAACATTAAAATGGACCTTCAAAAAATAAGTTATAAAAAGCAAAATTGATTAAAGTGACTCAGAATCAGGTCGAATAGTGGGTTTCTGGGACAATGGAGTTGCAAGTTTAAATTCTGTTTATACTTACATGTACAGTTATAGGAGATATTTTTCCATCTCCTTCAGGTGGTACGTATGGTTCAAACACTCCACCTGTCGAACTGATGTAAAATGGACGTTCTATCCATGGTCTGGGAGGCTGCATTCCCCTCTCCTTCAACTTTGATCGAATTTCTTCGGGTGTCATATCAGCCTCACTTTTTGTGTCTTCAAAGTCTGGTAGTTTGACCTTTATAACCTGTAAATTTACAATAAGAAAAAAATTAATGCTACGTGATGGCATAACTTCATGGATAACGTGATTTGAGGTTTTTACTATTGTGAGACCACAGGTGATGCCACCTATAAGCCGATGCAGGTCAGAGCCCAGAAAAAAGCAGTTACTTGAAAGAAGAGATGAATAAATAATATTACGCTGAATCTTTGCAAAACAGGTTGCAAGCATACAGAAAAATACATCTATTTACAACAGGGAAGTTAATAAAGACTGAAGGCAAATAAAAATATTTGTGATGAAAATACTGCAGAACTGAATTCTGTTAAGTGGCTTGGGCTTTTTTCTTCTTCTTCTTCAGGAACCTTGATCAAGTATGGGGCTCACAAGGTTGCTAGGATGTCAGCTGGATTAAAGTGGCAGAGTGTCATGCAATGGTATGCTCCGGTGATAGCAAAATTGACTCTTTGTTGTTATCCTCTCATACGTGTCCCATATTCTGAAGAGCCAAAATACAAACTGAAGTGTATTTTCTGAATTGTTTACCTTCTTCATTCGAAGCCATTTGAACTTTGGATTCCAGTGTTTATTACCACGGTGTCGAACAAGCTCCAAATTAACTGCAGCCGCCTTGACGCATGGTACCAGGAGTCCAAGTGGTGCAAACTGAAATTATAACTGTGTTCTTTACTGTGATGGCTCTCCACTAAAAACAATAGATTCTTCAGCCCATAAACCTATCCGAACATAACCTTAACATCTACGATTTTCAAAACTTGGACTTCCTATGTGTTTTATTATTTACCTGAAGAAATTTTATGTAAGAGTTCACAACAGAGACAGACATAGGTGCAGTTTCTTTCAATACTAGTCACGTCCGTCCTAACGGAAAATAAACATCTGAAGAAAATGCCTACAATCTACCATTACAAACAAGGAATAACTGTATATGGATCAACGAGCGACAGGTCATGTAGGTATTGGGCAGAGATCATAAAGATCAAGTACACAGAGTTTCAAAGTTCATGTAGAAACACAGCTCCGTGATGCAGCTGCCCAAAGCGTGAGGGATAACCAGAGGTTTCAAAGAAAACACAAAAAAATTGTGTGAGGGATAACCAGAGGTTTCAAAGAATACACAAAAAATTTGTTCAGTATATTTTATCAGTATATTTAGGAGATCAAGTATCTTGCAATGTCCTCACGTAATGGAGTGAAGGTATAGCTCCTACGCTTTCTTGACCTCGGCACTAGATTGGGGTGAGTGGTCAGCATCACGCCCCTGCAGCGCTTTACCCCCCGGGAAAGGAACTCAGTAGAAATTAAATAGGAGGCTGGGTGGACCCCAGAGCCAGTCTGGACGCAGAGGCTAGAAGAAAAATCCTTGCCTCCGTCTGGGATCGAACCCCAGTCGTCCAGCCCGTAGCTAGTCACTATACTAACTGAGCTATCCCGGTTCGTATAATTTGAATAGGAAAGCAGAAAACTACAATGTAGCAGTTTAGATTAAATATCAGCCAGTAGACGAGAAAGGGAAATGTTTATTTTTGACGTAAATACGTTTATACGGAAGGGTCATTCGGCAAAAAAGTGTAACGAAAAAGTGACAGGAAAATGTGTAAGATCCGTATCAACAAATCGACAACAATGGTTAGCTTGCATGCATTGTTATGTTACCTAGGAAACGTCATCTGTTGTGTTATATTACTGCCGTCAACAATCCGCTTTCGTAACAAGATGTATGACATTGAAAATAACATTACATTACATTACATTTCACTACTTTACATTATATTTAATTACATTACAGAGACGTAAATATAAATTAAATAGAGAGACGTATTTACGTCAAATTCTCCGGAACCGTGGTTCCACTGTCAATTTTTTATTTTAAAGCATGATATCTTACAGTGTTCCAAGGTCATCTATATAGTCCAATTTTATTTTAATTTCGATATCCTCAAAAATTAATATACACAATCATATCGAAGACGAAGTAGGAAACGTGTTTTTATTAGTTATCTCTGTGTGATAGAACCCGTGGTTTGGAATTTAGGTCTTTGAAAATATTTACAACTTGAATCAGTTGGTGTATGTAGGTATATATTAATAACAAATTTATATTGAAGGTAAAAGATACAGTGTCATATTATATATATGAATTAAGGACTTTTTTTATGATATAAGTGTTTATATGTAGTGTATTGGAAAGCTTCAAAGACATCAACACTGTCTCTCAATTTACCTCAACATCGAAGTTCCGGATCTTCCGTCACACGTTGCTCAATATTCTCTGAACATCAAACGCCTCATAAGGTGTTCTGTGCTGCAAGTTTAACAGGTTTTCATGTAGGTATTTTACGCTAAGGGTTGTTTGTTTGGTTTGAGATAAGAAGGTTTAAAAGTTTAAAGGCTGAAGAATGCATGCATATTATTTTTGTTGTTGTTGTGATTGTTGAAATTATTTATTTAAACAGATAACCTTGGCGTGATTATTCGGTCGGCATTTCGTGTCGGATTATTCAGCATTGTTAGGGGTCATGGTGTCCTAGACCTAAATTTTAATGGTTGGAAATAATGATTAGTATCAGAATGTTCGACATAGTAATAAATAATTTTACAGAACATAAAAATTGTCTCGCTATTTAATGATTTTGTTCTTAAATATGTTTGTATGGAGTAATGTGGCCATTGACCTTCTACAACAAACTTTGTCTTTGGTTGGGGTGGTTGGCGTGGGTTCCGTACGTAGGCTCAATTTGTGGGAGTTGTATAGCTTGATAATAAAGCAAGAGTGAGCGGAGATTTGGAATAGGACTCTTAGGCTAAATCTTGTCATTGATAACTAGTTTTATGATTTCCTTTATTCTTTAAGCGCCGTTTTCTTCCCTTTCACATTTTTTAGTGTAATTTGAAGATAATGCATTTCCCAAAGCTCCGTTAGAATATTTTGATTAGTAATTTGTGAGAACCTCGAATAAAAGCAAGTTATTTTAATGGAGTTTTTGTATTATTGATCGTAATAATTTCTTCACACTCGAGTTCTTTCAGATTTTAAGCGTGCTTATTTATTTATTAAATTGTTTCCAAATATTTATAGTGAAGTGAGTGTGTGTGAGGAATGTGATTTATTTTGTTTACAAGATAGTTCGGCTATGTGTGGTACAGCAGTAATTTCAGGAAGCTTGTGTTATCTTAATATCACTTTCATTTGTCATACATTTTAAGGTTTTTTCAAGGAACATGTCCAAGACCAACTGTAATATGTAAAGGAATTTTCATATATTCAAATCCATGTTTTGGATGTTGAAGCTTATGCTTGTGGCTGTTATTTATTATGATATACTGCCCACAGTTTGGTACTTGGGGAAACAGGTGGCCTTCAGTATTTAACTAGTTTCTATGTAACATCAGTTTCCCCTCGAGTTATAGAGCACAGATGCATGTTTGTCATATTAACTCATCACAGTTGTTTTGGCATGTGTAGTAGTGGGCTGGTGAGTAAAACTGCTTTGCTATCTCACTGTGTGAACAGTAGGTAGTTCATAGATGACAGTACAGTCCGTGTTATTCCTCCTGGCCTCTCATTTGTGCTAAAAGTGCTGGCATGGCAAGTTGTCCACACAAAACTTACATTGAATTTCTTTGCTTGATTGACCTAAGAAACAGGTGTGTCTAAAGTGCTTTGTCTTTGCATTATTTTGTTGATGTACAATCTTCAGATGCAGTTTCAAGACTTCATTCTTGTAGCTCACAGAACACACGCTGTTTGCAGTTTCAAGACTTCATTCTTGTAGCTGGCGGTTTTATCTTGGTGATTACATAAGCTCACAGAACACAGGCTGTTGGGGTATTAAAAATCTGCATATTTTTCAGATCCTCTTACATAACCAGAAACTTTGTGTATGATGTGCTGTAAACACTAGAAACATTATAAGGCCTCATTTTATGACATAATTCAGAGTAGTGTGGGTCTACAACACAAACTGACATCAGATTTAAAGAACTTATACATAGCTTGTTGAGTCATTTGCTGGTGGCAGCATGTATTTGCATTTCTTTTTAAGACATGATGTGGTGGCATGACAGAAATTGTTGAGACATTTATTGAGAAGCAGTAAAAATTGTGCTATGTTTCTGTTTTCTAAGGAGCTAAGAAAAAGACTGTTTATTGGCAAGTGGGTGTCAATTCTAAGTATTTTGTTAACACATTCTCAACAAATGTCTCACTGAATAGACAATATACAAGGGGTAATATAAAATGAAATTACTATAATTCCAGCCAGTTATTGTATGAGTCAGAAAACAGAAAAGCCAGTACTGTCAGGTCAGCGCATCAAGACCAGAAAAAGAGGTGAGTTAATTCAATTTTCATTCTATTGATTGAAGTCATATATATCATATTTCTCTCAGTTTTGTGGTTGCAAATAAGCCAGGGTAGCTCAGTCAGTATAGTGGCTGCTACAGACTGGACAACAGGTTTGATCCCTGACGGGAAGAGGATTGTTCCTCTAGCCTCCGCATCCTGACTGGTTCTGGGGCCCACCCAGCCTCATAACCAATGGGTACCGGGCTCCTTTCCCATGTGGCTGGGGCGGTGATTCTGACCACTCTTCCCTATTTAGTGCTTAGGTCAAGAATGAGTAGGAGCTATACCTCCTCTCCACCCAAGCGCCTACATAGTGTATAGTAGGACAGCTCTGCTTTACTTTTATGCTTATAAGTAAGAAAAATTGTATCTTTAAGTTATGGATTGTATCTCTTAGATCTATGTGGTCCATCTGTTTTAGTGTTTTAGATTTTTATAATCTCTTTGCTGTTGTGCTAAAGGGCATCGTGTTCCATCTGCGTGGTTCTTTCTTGTTGTGGTTGTATCTCTACTAAAGGAAATTGTGCTAGTATAAAGTGTGGATTGTATTTTAGACTTAATTGTAAGTTTCTGCCATCTTAGACACATTTTGAACTAAGGGTCTAAAAAATTCTCCTGTTGGCTTACCGTGTCTGTCAGTGTTGTAAGTTGAGAACTGTTAATTTGGGTTTTTGTATGATTTGATATTGGGGTGTTTTACTAAATTTTATCCACTTTCTAACCATTTATGACTGCACACCTCGGTGATCCCAAGAGCTATGCTGGCGGTAGCATAGCTTCTGGTAGGGCCTCCCTAGCCAGTTTGGTCGAGGGGGAGAGTTCAGACTAAGACAGGTACCCTGGTCCTCCAGGTTGGGGGTTGGTCGCAAGGCTAACAACCTTGCACCGTAAAAAGGAAGATGTTTCGAAACCTCGGACAGAGGACCGAATGGAAGAGGAGAATTGAGGAGGTCGTGGACAGAATACGGACTGGAGAGCCATAGAAGAAGAAGCTTTATGACTGCAGTTAACATTATCCTGTTGCTTTCCTCTCTTTGAATGTCAATTTTAGTGATAGAATACTAAATTGTAATTAAGGTAGCAAGTTGGTTAGGACTGTAGTGACAGTTTCAGTTGCTTTTAAAAATTGTGCACACCAGGTTCCCCACTGTCCCCATTTATACTGACCAAAGGGGGACATAAGTGGGTGGTGCAGAGAGCTGTGTACAATATATCCATTACAAGATTTCGTCAAAAGTGGTTTGTCTGTTGTGATGCCTTGTCCAAAGAAATTAACTGTCCCCTGCCATAGCGTATCTAATGTATTGGTGGTTTTTAATGGTGTAGGGCATGCCGAGGTAATTTGACAGACATGGTTTTATGCAGTTTTAAGCATTTATGTTTGTTCTTCCAGGCTACAAAGAATGTTATTGCCCTTTGGAGCAGCCTCTTTTGTTAACCTTGAATTTTTTAATGAATTTCATCACCAGGTCTGTTTAGAGCAGGCAAATTGGTACATTTTGATCACTTTTGTATTCATCCCTTTGTATTTTAACCTCAACCCACTTTTTGGTCTTTATGCAGAATGACTTTGTTTTATCACATTGTAATGTAGAGTCGTGGTTGGTTGGAGATGCATAGTTTATATTTTTTATCATTGCAGCCCCTTTCCGGCCCTTATATGTACAATCTGGCCATGTGATAATTTTAAATGATTGCTCTCTCTTTCAGCCTCCTATTGTTATTTATTTCTTTATTCGAGGGTGCTTCTTCTGTAGCTCAGTCTATATGGCATTGATTTTTGTCATTGTTTTACATTTTAGCATACCATACTGGTGGGATAAGGATGAATTTCACTGTGCTAAGGCCATAGTTTGTTGTTGTTATTATTAAACAATCCGAGCAGAAGTGTCATTGATTTGTCTGCAGTGCCCACAAAGTGTGTTTGCGCCCTAACTGCTCATAAATTATATCTTTTGTTAAAGAAGTACTAAAATCTTGTTGTAAAAGTTGTCAGTTCAAACTTTCAATCTCTTTCTCATTGAAATATCACTTAGGGTATAGAAGAAGAAGATGAAGAGATTGGGTTGTTCATTTTAAATCAACTTGTTAGATCAGTGTCTTACTAAATGTGTGCTACACTGAACAGTCTTATTTACAATATAATAGGAATTTACCATGAACACTTACCTGGTTTTACTTCAGTAAGTGGGGGTTGTAGGAGCAGATAGCAGTGAAAAGCAATGCCACATTGCTTTGCTAACTGCTTTTGAATGTTTGGATGGTGATTAACAACTTTAGAGTCAACTTTAACTACTTGGGTAATTTACAACTGTCCTCATGTGGCAGAAATTCAGATTTACATGGCAAGCAGTGCCATCTGACTAGCTTTTGTCAGGTTCTCAGTTCAAATCCTGGTGGAGCCTGGTCTGTGTTTCCCTCATTATGTCCATGCAGATGCTGGGCTCACCATTCATAATAAACCACCATATTTGATTCAGCACTGTGTAGCTGCAGCAGTTGATGCTGCATTGTAAAATACCTGAATAAAAACAGTAAACAGTCTGAAGCTTTGGAAATGACTCCACATTCCACTGTCACTATTGTTATGCTCAGATTATGCACTGCGAAAAGGTCAGATTTGTTTTCACATATAATTGTGTGTCTTACTTCCTGTACCTATCAAATGTTTGCAAGAAGAAACCAACTTAGTGATGTTTAACAAAGCAAAAGTTTGTAATGATAATGGTAAAAGAAATTGTTAAAGTAAAAAATAAATCTCCATTTGTACAGGGTATACACAAAAGAATGGTGCGGTTTCAAA